CCTTAGTTTAACGAACCCAATCTACCACTATTTTCAAGGTGGCTACTTTTGCATCAGACACCCTGTATATGTCAAGTGGTATATTTTGCAGCTAACACAATTAAGGGGATGCTCGAGTGGTTTGATTTACCGACAGAGTCGCATACAGTTTTTGGAAGTTTGTAAAGAAACGTAACCTCAATATGTCAAATTATATACAAACGAAAATAATTATGTAGCATTTATGTACAAACTAATACCAGACCCAAGTGTAGAATGCATAGTAGAACGTTTTCATATAAAAAACATTGAGGTTTGAAGTCTAATTCGTATCGCATTATGTATTGCAATATTTGTAATACATAATGCGATACGAATTAGATTTCAAATCTCAATGTTTTTTATATGAAAATGTTCAACTATGCATTCTACAATTGGGTCTGGTATTAGTTTGTACATAAATACAAATAATAAGATTTACAAACGCAAAAACGGTATCCGACTCTGTCGGTAAATCAAACCACTCCAGCATCCCCTTAATGTCAATTGCAAAAAATATAATTTTTAAACTTTCCCCCCGTAATAAATATTTTTTCGATAATATTGCTAAAATTAATTTGTGTGTACAAATTTTATTATAATAAAAGTTCTTACTTGATAAGACGTAAATGGTATACTACGATGTCATGTAAAATTTTGCCGAAATTTTTGCATGAGACTAAACTTATCAGTCGATATCCAAAATTCTCTAGCTGGCCACAAAAATGGAAAATAACTAATAATAAAAAAAAATCTATAGTTAGGTAAGCAGCAGCTGCTAAGAAACTCATTATGTTTTGCAAAAATAAGGTCAACTCAAGCTGCGGGCTCTTATGTATATTGTAAAAGTGATACGTCTCAAAGGGTAATTTGGTCTGTTTCGTGAAATTTGTCACATGAAATACTCGAACGCCAAAATAAGTAGGAACAGTTGATATGAGAAATGCGGATGCAAAACAAAAATATCCAATGATCATAATTAATCGAGCAGTTCGTGCTCGTCTTATCATCACAGCTCTTTCTGCAACCGATTTCAATGCTACCCAATCTTCCTCCATCATATTCACAATCGATAAGAGAACTTGAACATACAAGTAAAGTCATATGTTAATATATCGAAATATTGAACTGCTTACAGAGATTACAGAAAGATAAACATTATATGAACACATAAAATAATTATTAAAATAAATATACTGCCTAACTAAAGAAAAGCTACGTAAATGTTTTTATTTATTTCGATACATATTATTTTCTATCCCAATTTATATTATTATACGGGAAAAAATAATAAATAATTACTGATTTGTGATACTATGGTATTCAAAATATGTTTGTAATAACAAATTAATTATAATGTCACGATTAATACATTTGATATTGTAAAAAAATAACATGTCAAACATTGTAAATAATTCGGGACATACCTGTTCGTTTCCATCGCATGATGATATATTTCACTGGTACCGTCAATAAAGGCAAAGCAATACGTAAAGTGTCGATTACAAGTACCATGTCGCCCCAATCTTCCATCACCGTATATATTGTCGGAACGTTATTAACAAATACTAATAAAATTAAAATAATGCCTGCGTGAAGTTGTGACCAGAAACTTTTTATAGAAAACGTGATATTTTTAGGCCACAAACCCATCATTTCCAAACCAAAGCGATGTACTTCAGTCGCCCACATAAAATCTAATAACATTTTATATAACATTAACAAATTTGTAAATAAAATCATTACAAATTAATATGTAAATTTTGAAGATTATTCAGAACAAAAACTAACAATACTGCGATAAAAAGATAATTATATAAAAAGCAAAATTTTATAAATGGATAATTATACTGTATTGATTTATAGATATGTGGAATACATATGATAAACGATAAAAATGTAATACGGAATTAGTACCTCTATAACCTGCGGATTTCTTATTATCCATGAGAACTAACGTCTCATTCTTCTCACCATGTAATGTAAAATAAACGCGCATGCTTTCCATAGAAGAACAAAAATCCAGCAGTCTTCAAATGCTGCATTAAATATTAATGATGCTATCCCCAGTTTTTACGACTGCTCATGTCGTAAAGAAACTTTACACGTGAACAATATGTCATAAAAACTTTTATTTCTCTTTTAATAAGACTAGAGGTAGAAAATATTACATCGAAGTATATCATACAATTGTCGAATTTCTCTCACAAATTTTCTCGTACTTTCCGTTGCTTTATTATATATTTATTTCGCGTCGAAAAAAAATGTTAATTCACTTTTAGTGGGATTCTCTATGTATATCCGACCCAAGAATGCAGAGAAATATTACGGACAAGAAAATGATAAGAATTGCGGGGTGTACTGACTTTTCCCTTTACATTTTCTAAAGGTATACTATCGTTACACGAGTGAATGCAATCTTATAACTATTCAGCAGATCAAAGTACGTAATTTGTAATTCTTTATTCTTCATATAATTCCTGTGATTATATTTTAAACAACATAAAAGAATATAAACTACAATTTTATAAGGTATACAAATGTATTGTAAAATACTTAATAAAATTACAGTAGACAGCAAACACTAAGAAGCAAAACTGAAGTTTATTTCTACCACAAGACTTACTAAATACAATTGCATCTACTCATAATTATTTTATTGCAAATACATGTTCATGTCCTTCGTGAGTACATAACACCTCGACCTAACAAATACTAACGTGAATTTCGGACTAAATGGATAACCAAACCAATAATACTGTACATTAAATACCGCATCGTGTGGATTCCATATTTGTTTTGAATAGCATTGGGTAGACCTGTTTTATTTTAGTTTCATTGTCAGTCTACCTCAAGGTATAGTATGATCAGGTTGTTTATAGAGTGCTTCTGTGATTTTTAAATTGTGATTTTATTTTGTGAATAATTCAATTCACCGTA